GGAGCCAAATGCATCGAAGGATCAGAGCTACGTATGAGGGAGATAATCCTTAATTTTAAAATAAATTTCTAAATTATAGCACAGTAATTAAATACATATCCTTATTTTCAAGCTAGTACCGAAGAACTTAGCTACTGGGCTCAATTCCTTACTCTAAAGCAAACGCTCTAACTACTGCGCCACGCGGGCGCCTATAATGTAATGAATGTTTGTGATTTGCGTGTGTACCTATATGTAACAGGGGTGGTGGGGTGGTAAGAAAGAGCGGGAAATCTTGATATGTTTAGAAAGCCTGACCTAAGGGATTACATTTTTATCCTTGATACAGAATGCAGATTGAATAACGCATATAGAAGTGAATTTGAAATTGATTAACTTTATGAACTAAGTATTATCAGCATTTCAGCAAAAGTAGGAGAATTTCCTTCTGACCACTTCATTTTTAAGCGCTTAGCGTAAAACGCTTATAGGCAGCCTACACCTGCTTCCGATCCAGCGCCACTAAACAAGTTCGATAACTTTTCTTCTAGAAATATGCTTCTGGGAATCTCCGAGTTTTTCAGCTATTTAAGTTTCACACAGTTACGTGTAGTTCTAATAATAGGTGTTAATTAATAAGCCCAAAATTGACCTTCATATTGTCTTCCAACAATTTTTTTTATTAAAATAGAAAATTTGGTGTTATAACTACTTACAGATCTTTCTGTTACCATCCTCACATCAAGTCTAGAGTTATCAATAATGTAGATTTAGTATCAATGAGCAACAGATAGACAGTCTATAAAAACTTGTATTGTGTAGTCTTTACTTGTAACATGGATAAAAATATTTCTAATGTAAAAGGCAGCATACGCATAGTGGCTATGTTTCAACCAATCGACTTAGACAGGAAACTCACAAAATTTCCATTTCTAACAGAGATATTGATGAAAATATGGTGCTTTTCAATTATGTGTGAAGTACACCGGATAAATTACAAAACTCCAAACCAAAAAAAAAAAGAAAGAAAAAAGAACGTTTTCAGCAAAAAGACAGGAAAGGCGCTGATGTGATGTTATGTATACTTGTGTTAGGAATCTAGGAATAATTCATATAATGTATATAAGGGTATAAATGGGTTGACAATTTGTAGGAATATATGTTTAGCGACATTTAGAGGACTACATGCACATAAAAACGGAATAATACAATTTTATATCTCCATGGATATTAGGAGATATAGTTGAACCTATTTTATACATGTATATAGCGAGGTTAATAAATAATTTTCAAAACTGCATTTTAGGTTGTGTAGATTTTTTTTCTAAAAAATATGGAACTAAAAGAGAATTAACAGGTCGATTATTTTTCAGTAGTCCATTTCACATGCCCTGAACAAACTGGTCCTGTGTCCATACTATTCTTATTATATTTTCGTGGTAGTTAATATCATAACTCGATCGGTAACAAATTAAATCACGCTCAACAACAGCCAATCTTGAATTTAAAATAAATATTATACCATAATGCAAACTTGCGAGCACAGAATGAATTTATTGTTAAGATTATTAAAATACATTTTTGCAGTCGGTGTGGAACATTAAAGAAAGGAATACTAGCGACATTTTTCAAGTGTTCAAAATTTGTTGAAATGTAACATTTATTCTGCTAATTTATTACTACATGTACAATCTGAATTTGGTCGGAAAAATAATTTCCAACATTTTCTTCCTCCTTGCTTGCGATTTATATATAGAGCCACTTCCTCTATACTAGGTAAATGATTTTTTTTAAAAGATTATCTGTCAGTTTTATGTACATGTGATTGACCTTTTAATACATTAGATTAAGTTTACTTTAAATAAAGGGGAAAATACACAATGTTGAATTTCAGAATGTTAAAATTTTAAGAAAAATTTCTAGCTGTAGAACTGTAGTTCATTCACCAGACAAACCAGAGAACTACAGATCCAACCTTTGTTAAAACCTTCTACTTACGGCGCCTCTTTTTGTTGCACGCTTTGGGTATTATTTCTTGTATTATATGCGTTCCCCCGCCAAAGCATGGTATCCATTAAGATACTATATCACCAAAAGCTTCAGATTTAATGAATATAATAGAAAACTGATACATATACTTTGAATTATCAGTATATATAGGCATAATTCCCATTTACCGTAGAAGTATTTTTTCCGCGTGGTATTAATTTACGCTAATTATAAAAACATGGTCACAGATTTTCCGCGGAAATCTCTCTTAATGTACTTAATGAAATATGGATAACAAAAAATACCAAAAAAGGAGCAAACATGGACTCTAAAACGGAGGTGGGACCAGGTGCCCCGTCGATCAGTCAAACCGCTGTATCTTCTTGTCCATAGAAATAATTCGGTGTGAAAATAATGTTCTAACAGTTTGTATGAAAAACGAAATATTGACTTTAAACGAGACTGTTGATATCCTTGTTTCTTCAACTTATTTGTCAATAGCTAGAAATTGCTCATACGTAGAGGATGCTCTTGCGTATCGAATCAACTGGGAGATCTAGACATAAATTCAATATGCAGGTGACAAGAGTATATTGCTACATAAATAAGGGAATTTAACGATAGAAAAGTCATGTAGAAGTTTTAAAATAAATTCTGCTTCATGTTAATACAAAAATAGGTGTGCTAGAAACAGAGCACAATAAGTACCCCTTCGAAATTCCGTCAGCTTGTCCAAAAACTATCGATATAGATATAAATGTTTTTTTTATAAGAATTTCAAGTATATTTTTAATATCATCTTCGGAATACTTGTGTGTGTACTAAGTAATCAGAATGTGTTTGAAGAAAATAATTTTGCAAATGACCAATGACAAGGTAAGTAAAGTTACGAGGTATATTCAAGGTATATGGTGTTAATCTAAGAGATACGCGTAATTCCTCATAGATTAAACAGAGATTTTGATTCCGTGGAATTACGACCCCTTGGAAAAAGTACGTTAAAAGTATTACATTCAGTATGCAGAGCAGTATGTGTCCTAATTTGTGACCTTAGCACGACCTAACATTAGCTCAGTCGGTAGAGGCTCGCTCCGTGATTGGAAGTTTGCAGGTTCAAGCCCTTGCCGCGACAAACCTAAGTTGATAAAAAAAAAAAATAGGTATCTTAAAAACCGAGGCCCCTTATCAGGGTAGGCGTTGGCACGATAAAGATCCCTCCCTTCTCAATGACCCTCGGTGCCAATGCAAGTAAATGTCTAAATTTGAAGTGTAATGTTACGTCTCTATACGAGTGTAAAATTCTCGAATCAATGAATCAGCCTTTGAAGAGTTATCTCCATTTGTCTCTAATCAATAAAAATCAATTTAAAAAAATATATGCAGTAAAAATCATCTCATTATTCTACTCCTAATTAATAAATACATCTTTCCACCGCAGCATTTCTTGATATTCTTAATATTTCAATTTTTATTTTTTAGAGATTTACCCGTTCCCACAAACCACAATGCAATCTTCATTGATCAATTTTTGTTTAGGCAATTACAAGACATATTTTAAAAATTCTTATGGTAAATCATGTCTACTGTAGAACGCTTTAAATTAATATCAGAGTATTTTATACATGATGGATATTTAAGGACAGAGAATTAAGTTCTATCAGGGAAGGAATATCTTAGTTGTCAATGTAGTTTACTCCTAACCTTGTTACTTCATTCAAACAATACAAATCAGGAGGAGAGCAAACATTGACCTCTTAAACATCAAAAGTACATGAGATCAGGTGCCATGGAGGAGTGAGCATCCCCTGCCTACCGGTCCCTCCCACCGTGTGCTCCTTGTCATGATCGGGAAATAACGTAAAAACCGTCGACAATTCAGTGGGTACAGCCTAACAATAATTATGAAAAACGCCAGTCAGCATTTGCCTTTATAATAGATTGTATTTGCTGACAAGGTCATTGTATCGACCATGGAACATACAAAATGATGACTTTAAGCGAAACTGTTGATATTCTTGTTTCATCAACTAAGGAATCAGGAGCAGAGCAAACGCGGACCTCTAAAACATCAGAGGTGGGATCAGGTGCCCTGGAGGAGTGAGCATCCCCCGCCGACCGGTCACTCCCGGCGTGTGCTCCTTGTCATGATAATAACGGAAAAGTCCGTCGACAATTTATTATGTAAATTAAGGTCTAACAATTAGTATGAAAAACGTCAGTCAGCATTTGACTTCATGATAAATTGTATTTGCTGACAAGGTCAGATGAAACTTGAATAGAAGCAAGATCATGTCAAATAAGAATCAAGAGGAGTACATGTGGTATGGTACAACAGGGCAATAATTGTTTACTTCCTGATAGTAAATAGTCTATCCTCCTACCGTTATCTTTTTTTTACTCATAAATGCTGAAAAGTTACACATTTTCAGATTTCTTCTTTTTGTCTTTTAACAGATATTCTCCAGAGGGAGGCACAAAATGTTAGAAAATGTTAGATAAATACGAAATCTGCATATAAACATAGTTTGAAAAATTACATGTAAATACATAATAACCTGTTTGAAAGATACATAAAAGAGTTATGTAAATGAAAAAAAAAAAGATGAGGAAAACAAAAAATGAAAAAGTATTTGACGTCGAAAATACAATGATATGTAATTGTAACTAATGGTAATGGCAAAAATGTGTGTTCTTGAAACTCTGAAGATGCATTGAATCTATATACTCTGTTAAATATTCTTCTATTTAAAAGGCATCCTCTAGATGATTGAAAAATGAACATTCTGACATGCATAAATCTTTTAAAAAATTATTTATGTATTTAAGATGATTCTTTTGGAGGAGATGTAGGGGATGAAATTGGAAATCATAATAATACTTTATTTAATTTTAAAAAAGGAAACCATTGGCTGAATGCCATCGTGCCCCGCCTTCAAAATTCGTGTTTGGACACACCTCACAAACTGACAGAAAAATTCCTAGAGCTTATACCAGATCTTCAGGAATTGGAGACTGTTCCTTCGCCTAGAATAATGGGGTCCAATCTTCCAGTTAAATATATTCCAAAAGAAAACAAAGGAAAAATTATCCATTCCGTTCGTAATCCGAAAGACATTGTCTTGTCTGCTTTTCATCATTACACAAACGATCCATATGTGAAGGACTACATGAATCATGACTGGCCTTGTTTCGTGGATGATTTCCTACGTGGGGGTAAGTTAAATTCATTGTTGTTTTCTGACAATATCAGTGTTATTTGACCTTATTGTCTTGAACTACAAATCTTTATTTACTTTGCTTTGTGAATGAAAAGCTATAGCGAATGCGTAACTTGTGTACTTTATTGGGAATACATGTAAGTATTCTTCATAATTTGTTCAAATGGAGAGTGATGCAATTGTTGTACATTGTCCATAAACTTGTGGTTTTTCAATATGCTAACAACATCTTAGATCCTTAAAATGTATCATTAGATTATCCGAGACATTACGAATGTCTTATGCATTATTTGTTGATATTTCATCTATATTTTAGACTGTTACTATGGAAGTTGGTTTGAAAGAGAGAAAGAGTGGGAAGAGGCAGCACGACAAAATCCCGAAAAGATTTTGATTGTTTATTATGAAGATCTTAAGAAAGTATGTTCAACAAAAGACTTTTTGAATTAACATCTCAAGGTATTCTGTTGTAATTAATGCCACTTTTTCTTTAATTAAAAGATACTGGACGTATGTTGTTTTAATGTTTAATTTAGAATGGGATGGAGACGATGCGACAGATATCCAATTTTCTTGGAACCTCGTCTGATCCTAAATTTCTTCAGGCTGTTTATGATGAATGTACCTTTGAGAAAGTAAAAGAAAGAGAAAAGGATACAATTTGGAAGTTTATCTACCGAAAAGGTTAAAACTATTATGCTCTAATTCGTAAATGAAATATCTTTTCAGATATAAATCCAAATGATATATATATATATAACCCATCTGAAGAAACATATACATTTTGTTATATTACACGTTCTGAATGTTTGTCTTCATATTGCAGGAGAGGTTGGTGATTGGAAATCGACGTTAACTGAGGAACAGAATACGAAGTTTGATCAGGTCTTCAATGAAGAAATGAAGGATTCAAAATTAAAAATACAATGGGAGTAAATGGTAAATTCAACGGAATTAAATGGATATTGAAAATTTTCATAGGATTTTGTACAGTTATTAATTTTGTTTCATATATTACACTAAAAAGTAATATTTATTTTTTCCCCAATAACCATTATAAACAAAATACAAAATACGATATGAAATGATAAATCTGCTGTATGTGACATTTTTGCAACAAACGAGTGCCTCAGTGGGTTGGAACTATGGAAATGATCACGTAATGCTTCTAGAATTTCGAGAATTTCAATTCTTTTAGACAGCATTTTTTAAAACTCATGTTTAAATTTTTATTTCACATATAAATGTAAATATAAAGATTCACTGCCTAGTTTGTTGGGTATGCCTGGAACATGAATGCAATGTATGCATGAATGTAATTTTTGCATAGTGAGCTTCGCCCGTTATGCAAATTATCCCATGTTTCCAACTGTGGTAAATGCCCTTGCATACCCACCAAACTACATTTTGTAGACAGTAATTTTGAGAAATTTGCAAGACTGTGACGTTTAATTGATCCCTGCCTCCTCTTGCCCTCATCAATAGGAGTAATATAGTACTGAAAATATTGAAGTGAATCTGGAAACTATTTCGTACCATATATGAATCAATGACCTAGATATTTCACATTGAGTACAGAAATCAATTAGGTTTTTGCTTAATTTAGGCCATCGTTTAAATGCATAGTTTCATCGAAAAATTGAATAACTGAGGTTATCATCTGCAACCATTTTATGCAATATATGAATGTCTTAGTTTTGTCTGATTAAGTATATATAACCATTCTCTGTAATTACTTTAATTTTATACAGGAGCTGTGACACGCATAGTCTTAGAATTTCTAAAACTCTCCACGATTAAAGTCTTAAACTCAAATCAGGCAAACAATGGTTATTACATGTTATTGTTACCATGGAAACGTGCCCCAAAGTTTGAAAAATAGCATTTTTCAACATATTCAGAGTCCCTTAATTAACGTTTGCATCAATGCAAACAAGTGGCAAAAACTGAAGAAAAAAAAAAGGAATATGTGAATAAAATAAACGCGATTCTTTTATACTTGAATCTTCAATAATCAAGATAAAATAACATTATGAAATCAGGTCTGATTATCTATCATTCAAATACTGTAAGCTAGCGTGTCAAAATGATAATCATATTTAGTTAATATACATTGCATTTTATTTGCGCATCAAAATTACACTTCATATTCTCATATTTCATGATAAACATTCCATGTAATAATATGCTTGTTTTGTACATCAGTTTTATTTAAAAAGTACAAGAAATAAATTGATTAAGAACTCACTTTCAGTGTATAAACCTCACTCTTCGTTCAATCTAATTTCGCTCTTTGTTTGTCAGACCATTATATATTCACTCTTGCTCCTTTAGCGTATTGCAATCGCTCTCCGTTCATTGCTCTATCCTTTCAAAAATTCCCTTCCGCATTCGCTCACTGATCATTTTCTTTCTATGGAGTAGTAGAACGCTATTTACAATTTACAAGAAATTGGACATACAGAAGTATACCCATTCTTATATTCATTGATATCGCAGAAAGTTGATATTTTGTTGTATTGAAGTGAATTGTTTAGAAAACTTAATGATCAAAGTTTACCTTGGTTGTTGAATAAATGATTATATGTATTTTACTATAAATGCACTTTAAAAAAAATAGATTATGATTACCCATTAATAAAAAAATCGTAAAAAATGTGTTTTCAGTAATAATGATATTTAGGCGACTTCAGAGATACAAAGAAAAGGTAAATGGCTACAGCTTTGTAAATGGAAAGAAAAGATTAACACAATATAATGCATTTATATTATAAAATCATTTACTTCAAGCAATAACTAATTATATGTAATATGTAGTTGCAGTTTATGTAATGGTTAAAACTTGCAATTTTCTGAAGTCCAAAAGTGTATGAAATCTATGTGCTTGAATCACTGATAAAGACTCAGCTTTCTGACTAATGGAAAGAAACAGTATCTTCTGATAAGTGAGAGATTTAGCAAAAACCACACTTTTAACATTTTATTTCATATTTTTATGATCATTATTTTTTTGGAATAAATTTGCAGTGAATAAAATTTCAAAACGAAACCAATCGTACCCGCCTTCATTATTCATGTCTGGAGGACCCTCAGAAACTGACAAACACCTTTCTACAGGTTTTATCAGATATTGAGGAATTGTTGACCGTTCCTTCGCTTCGAATATAAATAACTTCCCATGTTCCAGTACTAAATCAAAGGAAAACAATGGAAAGATTCATCTTTCCACCATAGCACAGCCAACCCAATAGTCAAGAACTTCGTGAATCCTGACTGCTCGAATTTCTTAGATGATCACTTACGTGGGATTAAGTTGAGTAAACATCTGCTTTTTTGATCATTTCAAATCGTTGTCTTGTCATTAAGATGATCTTAAATATAAGAATAGTTGATTAGGATAATGTATTTTTCATGATTGGTCCCAGTAGACTGTTATGCAGGTATTCGTGTTGTCAGTACACCTTGTATATAGATTTTTTTTCAAGTCTTGAAAAACTTATATTTACAATTCAGAAACGAATAATCAAACTAGAGAAGTCATTTACATTTCTTGTTGATTTTTTTATAGCTCTCTAAACAGAGTGTTTTATTGGAATTGTTTGAACGAGGCACAGAAAGATTTGGTAGAAGCAGCGAAAAGTAGCGAGACAAATTGATTGTCTTTTATGTAAATCTGAAAAAAAGTAATGTTCAGCAATAAATTATCTGTTTTGGTATCCTAGGGTAACCCAATTTGTAGTGAAAATTATATTTCCTTTAAAAGATACAGAAATGAAATATATGGAGATAACGAACAGTATTCAAGCTCAAAAGTCCATTATACAATACAAAATAGGAGCAGAGCAAACACGGACCTCCAAACATCAGAGGTGGGATCAGGTGCCATGGAGGAGTGAGCATCCCCTGCCGACCGGTCACACCCGCCGTGTGCTCCTTGTCATGATCGGGAAATAACGGAAAAATCCGTCGACAATTCAGTGTGTAAATAATGGCCTAACAATTAGTATGAAAAACGTCAGTCAGCATTTGACTCAATGATAAATTGTATTTGCTGACAAGGTCATTGTATCGACCATAGAACTTACGAAATGATGACTTTAAACGAGACTGCTGATATTCTTGTTTCATCAACTTATTTGTCAATAATTTACCTCGTTTTAGAAAATGTACATACGTAGAGCATGCTCTTGCGTATCGAATCAACTGAGAGATATATACCCCGTATGCAGGTGATGAAGGTATATTGCTGCATAAGTAAGGGAAGTTGACGATTGAAAAGTCAAAGTCATCACGTTTATCATAAAGCTTGGTTGTTAGATTACCATTAACGTCTTTTTCAAGTAAAATATCCAAATATGAAACAGATGTGTCGGACTCTGTGGTATCTTTTATCTCAAGTTAACCAGAATATATCGTATCGACATAAGAATGAAAATAGCCATTGTTAATTGACAATACGTCGTCGATATATCTAAATGTCGAGTTGAACGCCACAGAAAGTGATTTCTTCTTTTCACGTACAAGTTTTTGGACAAATTCTGCTTCATATGAATACAAAAAAAGATCTGCTAATAACGGTGCGCAATTGGTACCCATAGAAATTCCAATAGATTGTTGGAAGACCTGGTCTCCAAAAACCACATAGATATTGTCAATCAGAAACTCAAGCATCATTTTAATGTCAACTTCAGAGTACTTGTGTGTACAATCAGAATGTTTTTTAACAAAATAATTTTGCAAATGACCAATGACAAGGTAAGTATATTAACGAGTTCCATTTTTATTGAAAAAGCAGCTGTCAATGATATAAAAAAGCCTGGACTTTAATTTATCGTGGGGAATGGTTGTGTATAAAGTTGAAAAGTCGTAAGTTTTTAAGCTGTTGATTTTGGTAAAATCTTTTGATTTCAAATTTTCCAAAAGTTCCACTACACATTTATGTTTTTTTAAATGAAAAATTTAGAAAGGCATGCAGACTATGCAACGCATATCAAATTTTTAACTTCGTCCGATCTTACATTTCTTCAAGCTGTTTATGATGATACAGTAAAAAAAAGAGAAAACGAAATTATCAACATGTACAAGAGTCATTAAAATATAGGCTTTTATCTTAACTGTTTTATTTCATGTTGTATTATATCCATATCTAGTTGACATATTATAACAATAAATTCAAACAATTTGAAAAAAAATTGAATATATCAGAACATTCATCAAATTTATCTAAAATTTAAGACTGCAAAATGGGGTCAAGGAGACCGATTAAAATTTAGTAATCCAGCAACAATTTTCAATTGCAAAAGTGCAAAGTGTCTATGAGCATATCTCTGATAATTAAATTGCCCTTGAACGAAATGAAATTGAAACGTTCAAATTTTCTATTGCTAAATTTGTTACACTGTAACGTAAAACATTGCTTTATCTTAAAATCAATTTGTAAGAGAGAGAGATACATCGAATTACGTCACGAAGCAATGAGTAATAATAAGATTTTGTTTTGCACTTAGGAAACCTCTAAGACAATCTGAAAATGCTGGAGAAACCAATCTATCTATCTATCTATCTATCTATTTATCTATCTATTTATCTATCTATCTATCTATCTATCTATCTATCTATCTATCTATCTATCTATCTATCTATCTATCTATCTATCTATCTATCTATCTATCTATTTATCTATCTATCTATCGATCGAACGATCGATCGATCGATAGATAGATAAATAGATAGATATAGATAAATAGTTATATATATAAATTTAAAGTATTTATTTTATATATATATATATATATATATATATATATATATATATATATATATATATATATATATATATATATATATATATATATATATATATATATATATATATATATATAATCACTTCACTCTAGCTAGTTCCTCATTCACTTCCAATAAACAAAAGCAATAGT